CTCTCATCGTCCACCGCTACGTCGAACTCGTCGTTCATCACTTGTACGAGCACTTCCTCCAGGTCCTCCGCATCGGTCTCGGGTCGATTAGCCAGCATTTCGGAGATCGCACCGCAAAGCCAGTCCCGCTTTTCGCTTGAGTTGGGGCCGCCCCAGTTTGACTGCACGGCTAGTGAGAGGGCCGGCCAATTGTTGATTGTGAGGGTGATTGCGAGATCGAGGTAAGAGGCGGAATCTGTGGCCGCTTGGGGTGTTGAAGTTGTCGCCATTTTGAATAGGCTTATATGGTTGTTGGATTTGAGGTGGGCTTTGCGTTTCTTTTTTCGGAAGACTGATGGTACCCCGCGGTCTTGGTGGAGAAAAAGGCACTTGTTGATGGAGTGGGCAAGGCTGGGTTGGATAGTAGTGATGGAAAGAGACAACTTGTCTTCCTTTGAGCCTTTCTGCGATCGGTGTACTGTATCGCAATTGAGATCTCTTAATACGATGTTATGGACCTTGAATTTTTTTTAGAAAAAAGATCCGATTAGATAAGATAAGGTCAGGTGATGGGTCTCCCAAGGTTGGCACTATTTCCAAGGCCCTCTCCGGGGCTGCCAACCGTCCAATGTAATAAATAGGCTTGTTTCGCTGGACCTCTTGTACCAATATAAATAAGAATAGCCAGCTGCTTATGCGGCCTTGTCATATGTTCTTGGTGGTCTCTTTTGGTGGTCTTCTCCTTCTCAAGCCTTATCGGGATGGTGGAAAATGGTGGAAAAAGGCGGGATAATGTTTCAACAAAAATAAGCTTTCTATATATATATTTATGAACAAACACCATATCATATATATAACTTGAACAAAAACTTGAAAGTCCGGCCAAATAAGTTAAAACACAAAAAAAGAAACTCCGATAGGGGGAATCGAACCCCCGGCTGCCGTGTGAGAGACGGCGATGTTAGCCACTACACCATATCGGAGGGGGACTGCGAATTACTCTCTTAGGTTTAGCTTTGACCCTTTAAGGTTAGCGCTCTTCGTCAGTGCTATGTTCCCGTGCGTGGTTCTATATAATCCCGTGCCGTCCCACATAATAAAGTTAAAATTCTGATTGGTCAGAAAAACTAGTGATCTTAATACTCGGATTCCTCGAGTAAGGGAGTTATAACCTGTTAGTAAAGTAGAAGACTATATAGGAATAATGAATGTAAATAACACAATAAACTGTGTGTATTAGACTCTAGAGAGGAAAAGAAGGAGAGAGGAAGCTATGCTAATCAACTACTAGAAGTCATAGGTCCTATGCATCACGTGATAGCATATAACAGTTTACTTTATGTCGAATACCCAAGTCCGAATATATAGTAGAAACCAGGTATTATACCGGAAACATTATATAACATTGGGTACTAGGCATACCATACAAAAGTGCATATTACAGTTAGTCATCATTATTCGCACAGATTGTTGAAATAGCGGGTTTTGTCATTTTAGAGTCTTTAACATTGGTCATCTATACCATACATTGTTCGTACACCAGCTTTCCGTCAGATTAACTGAGCTTGTATTGAAAGAATGCGAATGAACAAATCATTGATTTATTGATTGATTTGTTCTAGAACTAAATCATCGATTGACATTCATTCTAATAGAAAAGGTCGAATTCAATAGCTCTCCCATTAAATTGCATTTGGTCACTTTGTTCGGATATAAAACGGTGTTGTATCCTTTCGAAACGAAGTTCTTTTCTTCTAAGTAGTTGCAGAATACAAAAGCAAGGTAAGCAGTTTTTATATTGGGTTTCTCGGTCAATATAACGACTCATACTAATGGGAATAGATGGCCGATACTCGAGTCCATCGCTCGGGATCCACTTTCCAGCTACTCACGGCTGGCCCGTCAATAGTGACAAAATCCCAATCTTATGAACACGATAAAATACCCTGGCCATTATTGAGAAAACAAGTTTCGGCCTGTACGCTTGAGTTTCTGAATGAAGGCGAGACTGTTATTGGCGCCGATGACAAGAAGAACCATGTCGTTCTTAAACTCGCGTTCAAACATACTGTCATGAAAGCTACACCATATGCGCCTCATTCGACAACCGGAATCTTGATCAGCATTAATATTCACGGCATTACCTCCGATTCCCGCATTATGGGCAGTAACTTGATTGTTAAAACAATCAGTTACCAAGGGCCTCACCAGCGAGCCCTGAAATCGATCGAGATACCAATTTCCCCGAATAAGACAGTAAAAGACTTTCTGAAACCTATCAGTTTGTCTGAGATCCTACCATTTACATTCGTATTTGATGGAAGCGGATACATGGGCTGTAGGGACGTTATGTGAGTCGCAATTCCTTCGAACCGACTCTTTACCGTGGCCTACTAACTTGAACATTAGGTCGCAATTCCTTTGTCGTTTGGGAGATGCTGAGATTATTATTTTTTTAAGCGAAGAAGATAGTGCGGCTTTTTATCGGCATCTCAATATGCATTATGGACAAGAGGATATGATGTGGTTTAAGCCTGTTTTGCGAGGTATTTCTTTCAGCTAATTACTCCTATATCGTTCTGACCGATGTGATCTACCAGTAAGGACTTAGTGTAAGTGCAGGTATCGCAATACTACAGTCTGACTCCGTCAAGCTCAGAGAGCTGGATCTACCATTTGATTTTTATTCTATTCACTATTCTATTCACTATTCTATTCGCTAGCTGTATATATACGAAGCGACCCTTGAATACTAAGAGCCTATGGATGTTATCGCCGTTGATCTGAGATAGGGATTTATCATCGGGTCTATATAGATATGTAATGTATTTAGATATAGAATTGGAAGCTGAAAGTTCGAGTAGGGTTCCTTCCACCAACTAGGCACTTTAGAAGTAGATAGTTGTATAAGAGAGAAAGAATGATAGAGACTCTGATATATTTGAGAAGTCGAGTTTATGAACTGTTGAATACTAATAGCTAGGTATGAATTGATGTGATTCTGAATATAAGTGTATGTAGATGTGGGAACATATTGGCTATCTTGCTGGCGAATATCACTATATTTATGGTGAACACGTATAATCAATTCTATTTGAGGGGATTGTATAGGATTCGATGGTTCTGTGTGTTTAAGGTTATATGTATGAAGTTATTGGATGATATTAAATTTCTATTACGAATACGCATTCTGGAAATTAAACGTTCAAAGAAAAAGAAGAAGAAGAAGAAGAAGAAGAAGAAGAAGAAGAAAAAGAAGCAGCAATAATTTTGCATTGGTCTGACAAAACTGGGGGAAAAATGAAGAAGGGAGAAGGAGAGGAAGAGAAGCTATCTAAGGGAAGAGGTCTGTCACCTCAGATCATTTGATACCCAATAGCTCATTCCATATGAGTGATTATGCCTGGCTAACATTCGAAGTATCCAAATCTCTAACATCTATTGGGCCAACCTGTTAGCAAGAGAATCCTCTAAACAAAGGGGGGTCCTACCCACAATACCGACTGCTACCGTGCAAAAACCACCGTCTTGCTACGGAAAGTGCTTTTAGGTTTTGAGTAGGTGTGAGTGGAATCATACTATAGTACTCTGGGGGGAGTGGGTCTCCCCCTATAACTCTTTACTTAATTATAACTTAATAATACTTACGAGTAGACTAATACCCTAGTATAGATCTACTCGGCGCTCTATCTAGTATTAGTTCCTTAATCGCTTAAAAGGACTTAGGCTATAGTAAGGCCCTACGCGGCAATAGCTTAGTTACGATCCGATCATTGACGTTGGACTATTCGAGGAGTATTAAGGCAAGTATACCCTGAACCCATCTAACCTAACTATGACCAGTTAGCTAGTGCGTAACACCCCACTATATAACTAGGGCTTCGGTTTAATCGATCAGAGTGATAGGGAGTACAATACTACTACGAAGGCCAATATAACTAGTATTATATATATTCAAACTGAACTCTAAGCTTTCTAATATACTCCGAGTTCTACTATTTAATTAATATTAATAGTTTTTATAGTTAGAATTATATATATATATATTTAGTAAGTCTATCGATTATAACTATAATTGTATTATATCTATTTAAGATTAATAACTTTATAATAAAGTCTATTATAATATATTCCTATAATTTAGTTAGTATCTTAGATAACTATAATTCTTTATAAAATATATATTATATAGGCTTATTCTATTAGTATATATTATAAACTCGGATATAGAATTAAACCTTTCGCTATATATTTAGAAAATAATAATTTTATATAATATATTCGATAATCTTTTCTACTTTTATATATTGAAGAGGGGAACGCTTAAGGCTATATGCTCTATGGTATAGTTTAGTTTTATACCCAACTCTATATATAAGGGAGCCTAGGTACACTGCCCTAGAAGTAGATTCAGAGAGGTATAGGAGTGTATATTCTTAATCTATATCTATCTACTACTTATAACCCTATAATCTTAACGCTTATATGACGATATATAAAAAAGAAGAAGAGGTAAGGGTAAAGAAAATACGTAGTAGGGAGCAATTGATTATCGCCTATAATAAAGCCGCCGGGCTTATAATAGATATATAGCAAGAACGAAACAATTATGCGCTAAACTTAGACATATAGCACTCGTCCTAATTAGATCTATAAAACCGCCTATACGGAATCACCACGATTATCTCCCACAACACCACGCAACCGTGGTCTTTCCCGCTAGAACCATTCTTGGCCCCACTAGGTTTAGCGCACTTGGCTTTGTGAGTACCCGTGCAATGATGATAATATACCCGTGTAATGATGATAATATTCCAAGAGCTCCGCCACATATATTTTTTATTAGCCTGACGAGTCGTTCGTATCCCTCCTATATCCTACTAAAAATCTGTGGAATGTCTCAACTCAACGAAGCTAACTGTGGCCCGGAAGGGCTACCTTTATCTGTCAGACGGTATACCTATCGAAAAGAAGACTTTTCCCAAATCGTCCATCTTGAGCGCGAGCGCCTTTACCGTTCAATGGATTCTATCAAAACTATGTCCAATGCAATATACAATGATGGAAATTTAGATGCTTTAGAGGAGCCTGAAGATGTGACTGAGTATATCATTTTCTCTATTGATACGGCTACGCACGATCGTGACTTCCTAGATCCGAACAACGAACCAAAGCTTTCTATCCGCACTACATTCGATCAAAACATCAATTCACTAGCCGTCAAAATAGTGGTTCAAGAACACGAAGAGTTGTCTTATGCTATCAATGCGGCTATTTCACGATCGGTGGCTTCGATGGGGCTTGAAAGATCGATCTACCACTACGGTAGCACCACGATTCCTGTGGCCAACGGTCACAAGCAACCAGATGCGGCATGGGGCCCAAGACCACCACCAAATGGAAGCCCACGAAGACCAACCGTGGTAGTTGAAGTAGCAATCTCTGAAACGTACGCCAAGTTGCTTCGTGATACCAACCGGTGGCTCGACCCAATCGATGGTCTCGCGAAGGTCGTGCTAGCCATAAAAGCAGACCGACGGCGGCCCAGGATTACCATCGAAAGATGGCAGTACGATAGTGCCAAGGCAGAGAACGAAAATGTCCAAACCGTCGAGATCATCGAAAGCAGTGAAGGTGACAAAGTCACAGTGACCGGTGGCCCACTCCTCATTCCCTTCCACCTTTTTTTCCTCAGACCTGCAGAACCTTCTAAAGAGGCCGACATACTCATTCATGAGCAGGAGATCAAGGAGATCGCCCAGTTAATCTGGGAAATTCAGTTTACGGCGTTTTGATATCCTCACTTTGGCTTTGTGTATCTTTATACTATGTCTAGCTAAGTTGTGTCTTCTGTATCTTGGTTGTGCAGTTTGCATTATAGCTATCCTCTCAGCCAGGTCAGTTAGTCTAGGATTTGCGTTGTCCTGTTAAGCCGAGTTATGGCATCGTTACTAAATTCAACTATTGGTGATGAATTTGAATGAGGGCACGTAACAACGGAATATAGAGTATCGATTACTACAAAAATCCGATCTAGGCTGACGTTATAACACCAATTCAAGCGTCCTATATTATAAAGAAAGATATAAGCATAATAAGGCCATAACCATCCCTATATCTAGGGCAGTGTCTTCTTTACTACCTATGTTAGAGTCGAAGTCACGCTAGTCGTGCCGCTTACGGATTTGCTAGTTATACTAGTCGTACTGCTCTAGGCCTTATTAGATCCCCCGAGTAAGCTACCCTAGACTATTACGAGGATAGTGCTAGCTCTGGACTTTACCATAGCCTATTTAAATATATTCAGGGTGCCCTAGCTATTTAAGCTAGTAAAATATAAGTAAGCTAAGTATATCTTAAATTAACCTAATTTAAGCCGTATTAACTATAGGTAATAAAAAGATAACTAGTATAAAATATTACTACCTAAATCAAGGTACTTATATCAACTCCTAAGGTAGAAAATATAATAGTAGACTCGTAGCCGCGTTAATTAAAGGTAATAAAAATATCGTATAGATACTACTAAATTTAGATACTAATATCAACGCCTAGGGAGAATACGGCTCTACACTTTAAGTTACGCTATCCGAAGACTATAAAAGAATAGCCTAGTTACTACTAGATCGAGGCGCTCTTATCGAGATAAAGATAAAGAGCTAGAGCCTACTAAATATATCTAGCGATATTTCCTCTTACTTTACTATAGCCTTGCTATTAGATACAATCGTCGGACGTGAAAGGTAGTGTATAGCTTTAGTCGGTAGATAAGTAGATTACTGTGAAGCCCCACTATGTAGGGCTCTAGTTTAATCGATCAGAGTGACAGGGTGTATACAATACTACTACGAAGGCCAATGCATATAGCAATGCCTATATTCAAACTGAACTCCAAGCTTCTAATATGCTCCGAGTTCTACTATATATAGTAGTGTGTTCGTTAAGCGAGGTCATATGACTATGAATTCCATCTATACATATGCCTCCGAAGGTTGTGTGGACCCACTTCGGGTCCTGCGAACCTCACTGGGGAGTGGACCTGACAATTACTAGATAAAAGATCTAGGTACACTCGGACACTATTAAACAAAATCCTACCAACCCTTGGTTTCCTCTACGCGCTATTAGTGATAATAGACGGAGCCCCCTTTCTCCTTTACCAACCGTAAGAGAGCTCGTCAATCTAAGCAACTAGAACAATGCCATTACAAAGGAGTATAAGTTGGTAGCCATATATAACTTCTGTGGCGCCTTCGAATTGTGCCGCTGCCGCATTCACTTTTACTGATGCACTTATTCGTGTGCGTTGTGCTTAGAGTAAATTGACAGAAAGCTGGTGTACGAACAATGTATGGTATAGATGACCAATGTTGAAGACTCTAACTAAATTGACAAAACCCGCTATTTCAACAATCTGTGCGGACAATGATAACTAACTGTAGTATGCACTTTGCATGGTATGCCTAGTACCCAATGCCATGTAATATTTTTGGTATAATACCTGGTTTCTACCATGTATTCGGACTTGGTGTTTGACACTATTCCCTGATTACATATACATTTCTCTATCAAGCAACCTTCCAAGGAACCTTAGAAGAGCGTTAGTATATATGGATAGGAGATTGCTATCACAAGGTTTGTATAGCTAGAAAGCAGATGAAGGGCTGCCGTGACATTGACCTTATGCCCATTGCCCTGAAATATAATGTAGGGATTACCTATTTAGGCCGATTTATGCTCATAATCTAGATTTGGCATGACCCACTTTGCCAATACTGCCTGTAGTCGTAGAACTTCACTAGAATGTACACAGAAATCTTGCCCGCAGCGTGTGTGTCCGCAGCCTTCAAAAATGGGAAATCAGCAAGAACTAGGATGACAAAGACAAGGTTTCTAAGGTTGGAGGATCTCATTTCCACGCTAAACTATATACAGCTAGTCTAATTTTAGGTCCCGCCAGAGACCCAGTCTTCCAAGGTTCCCCTTACCTTTCGCCTTCCCCACCAACACGACCGTCGCTCTTTCTACCCCATCATAGATTGCACGACTCATCGAGCATCTGACATATGCTCCCTACGTGTCGCACTGCGAATTTCTATAGCCAATGTGAACACCATGTTGGGTACTCGAAAGCCTTTACGCCTACGTTCTGCCTGCACGGAGTGCTATGCCGCCAAGGTAGGTCTACCACTAATGAGAGCGATGGATACCCATACACAAACAACCTGACCGTAATGGATTGTCTCTAGGTCCGCTGCAGCGGCGAGAAGTATGGCTGTGACCGCTGTCGCCGGAATGATCTCTCTTGCGAATACCAGGTATCGATGGTAGGTCGTGCGCCGAAGAAGCAACGGACGAAAGCGAGTGACCAGACTCTCCATCTGCAAGAATCACGAGTTTCACCCAACACGATTTTGTATCAATCAGGGCCGGAAAGCACTGCTTCCCCACTCCCGGTGGTCAACTTGCCCGTGACAGGGCATCCCCCTCTCGTAGTCAATAATACAATGGGAGGTGGCCCTGTCTTCACCATGGGGGAGTTTACCGCCATATCTACAGACACGGAGATCGAGAGTTATTTGCAGACCCTGTTAAGTGATTACCCGGACCTACCGCTAGTTTCGCCCGGCGCGATCGATGGTTTCTGGCCGACAACAGAAAACTTACTACTCGATCCGCGTCCAGGAATCTCCAGTTCCGAGGGCACATCTGCAGCATCCGGCAAGCGGCCAGCATCGTTGCCCATCTCTCACACGTCGGGGATGCCCGTTAAGAACCCGCAGGGGTTCCCCATCCAGCAGCCGATGGCGGATTCTGTGCGGTCCCGATTAGCGGAACAGATCGACGCGAGAGTTCCCCCAAGCTATCGCGATCCGTCAGTGGTGTCGGATTACCCGCATGCCGCCGCCCTGATGAAGATCATCGAGTACTTGGAAGAGCAGCTCCAGATCCCCCGGGTCCCAATCGACCAAGCGATGCGCCTAAACCGACAAGCGATGGCTAAGGTACGGGAGGTGACCGACACTGACGAATTTCGACGCTGCCAGAGTTGTCCGCTACTGGTGGCGACCGTTATGGATCTGGTTGTGGGGCTCTATGAACTCGTGATCCTCTGTATCCAGCACCCCGCGGGTGAAGGCGACGCCACCTCCTTGGCCGATCAAAATAATCCGCCCTGGCGACAAAATCCCTTTCAGAAGCCGGCTGACACGGGTGAGATGCCGAGTGATAGGTCAAGTCCCGAATCAGCTATCAGCAGCGGTTCAGAGCCCCCGGTTTTTCAATTTGGATGCCTTGAGTTCGATCCAGATGAACAAGAGATCTTCCGGGCTGCGATGGTGCGGCGTGATTTGCGACGGTGCGTCGAAACCATCCAGTACTGCACTCAAGAGATTATTCAACGACAGAGCCAGGCCACAAATTTGCACGGTGGGCCTCTCGGTGGAGTCTTGCAATCGAGAGGGCCATCAAATAATGTACACACTCAGTGGTACCAGGAGATGGGATACCGGGCTAGGGACCTGCTGGCCGCTCTTCCCGCCCAGTGCACCCACCGATGAACAACAACTTGATTCTCCATCCCTGGAGAAAAAAGTAGCACTTCCTTTGTATCTCTCGGATATACAATCCTTGTAGAATATTTCCGATCCAAGTATAATGACATGATGAAACCCAAATGAATATTTTTTCACTACTAGTCCCCTACGAGTACACCCTCACTTCGCTCTTTTGCGCAACCATCTTATGTAATGATCCCAGTATCGAAGCCGAACATCTTGAGATTAAAAATGGTGTGGGAAATAATACAGCCATTTTACCAGTAGGCCACATCAAAAACCATGGTCTCTAATTATGGCCTAGAAGGGGCTATCTCTTAGGTTGACAAATGGTAATAGCCGGCGGACCGATATTGTCGCTCCGAACACTAGGCCGGAGATTGGACACCGAACAGTCGACATCCAACACCGCAGCGCCAATGCATAAATTATTTATTCCATAAAGGTGAGCGGTTTAAGTATGAATTTGGTGATTTATACGAACACCCTCTTTTTATTAATTCTTTTGGATATGATCTGTTCCAAATTGGCTATTATGAACTCTTCGAGGGAGGTGTTATATGAGTACATAGGTGTGAACAACCCTACGAGGCTAATGCTCTTTGTGGTCTTTGGAGTACTAGTATGCAAGCCAATCCCCCATTTCCCTCTAATTTCTCACTTGTCTGCTTTCCGCTTCATTTCGAATGTGAGGATGTGCTCAACGCTAAATTGATACCGAAAATCCCTCTAGATAATTTTTCTTGTTCTCCGTGAACACAATGGAAAGTTCAACCACAAAAAGCTTGGACATTACCCGATTGAAGGCGCTCCATTTAGGTTGCCATTTGTTGGCCACATATGGGCATTTATCTGGGATCCAGATATGTTCCTGCGCTATTGTCGGTATGTTGTGCCTTGACAGAAATCTGAGGGCAAGGATTGATCTCGATGGAATATACAGTGAGCGAGCCATTCATGGCATTTTTAATCTCAGGATGTTTGGCGTCGATACTCGCATCATTCACAGCCCATCGCTGATGAAGTCCTTCTTTGCCCTGCCCGGATCTGTTATCGAGCATAAGACCATGGGATCGAATATTATTACCAAGATCTTTGATTTTCCATCGGCCGAGGTACCACAGATGATAACACACTTTGATCAGTTGATGAATACCTTCATTACGCAGCTGACGAAAGGCCCGGGCTTTGACCGGTCGTGGATTAAGCTCTTGGCAGATATAGAAGAAATAGTGCCATCTATTGTCACGCCGTCTCCGGGTCACAAGGGCTTGCGGAGCTGGGAGCGTACCGCCAATATCAAGGTCCAACCTAACGGGACAATAGAGGCAGATCTTTTCCCTCTCGTCCGGAACTGCGTGGGCTCGTTAAGCTCGAAGGAAATGATGGGGCATGTCTTCGTCGATTCCCACCCGGACTTCCTGGAGGATATCTGGCAGGTAGACGCCAACATCATGGGGTTTGTCTTTGGCATGCCGAGTTGGCTACCATGGATTGCGAGAGCCCGGAAATCCCGAACACGCATCTTGGAGAAGTTGATTGCATGGCACACAGAGATGGAAGCCGTTGGCCCGGTGGCCGACTCGGATGCGGATTGTGCGCCGTTTGGGGACGTCAGTGACTTGATGAAACAACGGCAGAAAATCTGGTCTGCGCGAAGATTCTCGATGAAAGCCCGAGCTGCTGTAGACTTGTCCATATTATGGGCGTAAGTAATTTTCTATCTTCCTACTTGTCCTGTTGTTTCCTTGTCTAGTGGCCACATTCCACGAGCATATAAGTCGCCGAAGAAGTCTAACGAAGGTGACGAGAATAGACTTAATGCCAATTCTAACTCGACAGTGTACTGGATGTTGCGAAACATCTATGCTACCCCTGGCCTCCTGGAGGATGTCCGCCGGGAGATTGCCCCTGCCTGTTTAACTACAAACGACATGTTGCAGATCGACTGGAAGAGACTTCTGAACAACAGTCCTCTTTTCAAGTCTTGCTACTTCGAAACTCTTCGTATTGACTCAGCCTCTTGGTCCTTCAAACGCCTCCAGAAAGATTGTATTTTACAGGAAGCTGGAGAGGACGCCCGTCCGCCCATAGCAAAAGGCAAGCCAACAACATTCCACATGCAAAAGGGTGATGCGGTACTTGTCCCTTCTGATCTACACCATACCGATGGGCGGTACTTTCCAAATCCATCGGAGTTCCGTCCAGAGCGTTTCTTCGTGAACGCAGATGATGGCCATGTCCAGTCAGAAATAAAGTCCATCCGGCCATATGGAGGAGGTGCAACGATGTGCAAAGGACGGTTTCTCGCAGAGCGCGAAGTCCTAGCATTTGTGGCTGCCATGTTAACCTGCTGGGATTTGGAGCCGGTCAAGGGTAGCTCATGGGATATGGACAGTAGGGCCAAGACAAGCGGTGTCTCCAGCCCAAAGGATAACTTGAGAGTTAATCTGAAAAGAAGGGTCACCTAGAAGGTCTATTTACGCAATTCAAATGAATATTTTAGGAGGTTCTGTTGGATTATTTGTACATATTTAGTATGTATTCGTCTCTTAGATACACCTTTTACCACCCTCCGTCCTCAAGAGTTAGGCTAACGGAAAGTTTACTAAAGAATATCTTGATAAAAGCGAAGGACGCCATTCTAAATGTTCTATTGTCTAGATTGTTCGTCGTTAATTAGACTCTAAGGATTTGGCTGTCATCTTGTCTATCTTTTGTCCTCCTTAAGGGCATCATAGCCTTGCTGTCAAGGTTCATAGTCTAGAACTTAGTATCTGAAAGCCTTTAATCTCAACTCTTATATTGCACCCTATACCTTGATGTCTCCTAACAATTGTCTCGGTTGAAGAATTCAGATTTTACTAATCAAACACAAAGCCACACACAAAGTACCCTTTCAAAGCTATTACAGTTTGGTTGCCCGAGCCCAGAATAACTGCATCTCCCCACTCCGTGCGCCGGGAACAGGCGATAGTCGATCCGCCAGCACAAGCTGGGACTCTCCACAGCCTGCCTGTTCAAAGAGTGAGAATATCTGGCTCTGAGAAAAGCTGTCATGGGAGATGGTATGCGCTGCAGGGTGTTTCGGATCTATCGTGTCATTCATGTGGTGATGATGGTGATGGTGATGATTCTCCGAAACGGACGGAGTTGTCTGCACACTAGCTTGCTGTTCAGTCTTGTGCGATGAATTACGCGTTGCCCAGTCAATGATTAGAAGGACACCGCCCGGTCGCAGTCTCTCGGCGAGACGTTTGGTGGCCAACACGATATCATCGACATGGTGCAATGCCATACAAATGGCCACCAAATCGAAACCACTCAGCTCCTCCTCACTGAGTGGAGGTTCAGTTTGAGTGACTGTGGGAGCTAAGAGGTCACCTTGAACCGCTAACATGCGCGACTCGTCGAGGCCTAGTTCCACTGCGGTTGCACGATATTTGTCCAACATGCCATCTGATAGGTCGATGCCAATGCATTTAGAAAAGTGACGGTGGAGGGACTGCAGAACGGGAACAAGTCAGTATTGCGTGATGTGGTATCGTACGTTTTAATCGTTAAGTAAGGTCAATAACTCACGCGAGAGACAATGCCATTTCCGCAGGCGTAATCCATCAATTTCGTCTGCCGGCTGTTATCGACAGTGGGAGACTGGACGCCTATCCAGTCCAGATTTCCCATCAGAAATTCAGAAATCTGATTCTGCAGATCGTGTACCCATTTGTCTTTAAACACTAGCTGGGAGGCATTACTAGTCACAGTCAGCAGTCAGCTCTGATCCCCATGGGTCTCGTCTCTCCATTGGTTACGACTTACTTCCAATATGCTTGGTTTTTGTCGGCGAGCGTCTCCCCCATTGTGCTAGGTAGGTCGAAGGTCTCTATGAGTGTGGTTCGATATCGAAGAAGGAAAGCGAATATGACCACCAGTGCAGCTGCGCAATATCGCCAGGTGAGCATTAGTGAGAAGGTAATGGGGTCCTACAACGAAGTATTTAGATGACCCAAAATACATGTGATCGATTAGGCAGGGGAGTGATTAATCGCCTGAAAACAACCGCTTAGAAAGCAAAAAGGAGGCTAGATCATGATCCACCCCGGAATGCCGGCGTGGCGGCTCAGGTGGGGTCAAAATACGGAGATCGCAGACAACGATTGGCTTAACCCAACGGACCGAAGCAACGGGCCGATACTAGTGGTATCCAGCAGCTTATTATTCAGCAAAGGCAAGGGACCGCCCACCATCCAAATTTGGTAAGGCAAGTAGCAGAGGCCCGGAAGGCCGATTGGTCAAACCTACTATAACTTAAACTCGGGGAAATCTGGATTTTTTTTTCATCATCTTGGCAGTGCATATATACGGTTTGGTGAGCATAGCTAACAATAATCCTTTTTTACTGCAACACAACCAGAAAGTATCACTATCATCAGCAATGGCAGACGGCGCCTCTTCAGACCTGCCTGGCCCCGGTCGGCTGGCTCTTACTATGTTTGCTCTGTTCATGGGCATGTTCACTGCCAACCTGGACTCAACAATCCTGGCCACCGCTATTCCTTACATCACCAATGAATTTCACAGTCTCGATGACATTGGTTGGTATGGTTCGGCCACGTTCTTGACATTTGCGGCCTTCCAGACGACCTGGGGCAAGGCGTTCAAGTACTTTCATCTGAAATGGTCATATCTTATGTCTCTCTTCATCTTCGAGCTGGGCAGTCTTATTTGTGCCGTGGCCCCTAACAGTGTTACTTTGATTGTCGGCCGCGCAATTGCAGGTATCGGGGCTGCAGGCCTATGTACGGGTACCTTTGTCATCATTGGGTATACTGTCGAACCGGAGCGCCAACCGAGGTTTATGGGTGTTATGGGAGCCACTTACGCCCTAGCATCGTTTGTCGGGCCATTGGTGGGAGGGGCGTTCACTGAGAAGGTCACCTGGCGCTGGTGTTTCTACCTCAACCTACCTATTGGGGGTCTGGCCGCCTTCATTATCGTCATCTTCTTTCAAACCCCTAAGACAGCAAAGCCAGTTGAAGCCCCCTGGAGGGAAAAGCTCCTCCAGCTAGATCCAAGTGGCTGTTTTTTCATCATCGGGGCCGTTGTCTGTTACCTTCTGGCGTTACAGTGGGGTGGTTTACAGAAGAAGTGGTCCGACAGCAGCGTGATAGGCACTTTAATTGGCTTCATTCTGATTTTCATCGCCTTTGGTGCTAACGAATGGTGGCTTGGAGAGCGCGCCTCCATCGTACCACGTCTGTTCAAACGCCGCAGGATCCTTGTCAACTGCGCTGTCGTCTTTTTCAACTCTGGCGGATTTTTCATTTTGATCTATTATCTGCCCCTCTACTTCCAATCTATCCGCAACGCATCTCCTATTGGGTCCGGTGTTCGCAACCTTCCATTCCTCATTGGCGGGATCTTCTCCATGATTTCTGGCGTTGTTATCAGTGCCACCCAAAAATGGGTTCCATTCATGGTAGCCAGCGCAGCTCTCAGCGCGGTAGGGGGAGGATTAATATACACCATTGACCAAGACACATCGACTGGCAAGTGGGTCGGATTTCAGATTTTGGCCGGTGCGTCGACAGGATTTATTTCGCAAATTCCTATCATGGCAAACACTGCATGCGTGGATATGGCCGACATGAGCACTGCTTCCGCCATGACGCTATTTTTCCAGCTCCTTGGCGGCTCATTCTCTGTTTCCGCTGCTCAATCTGTGTTTGGAAATACGCTTCTGCGTAGAATTCGGGAGACCGCGCCTGAAATCTCCCCGGCGCTTGTCCTTTCGGCTGGTGCCTCCGAGCTGAGGAACATCTTTCCGGCAAATGCACTGCCCGGAATTCTGACAGCGTACATGGATGGAATCAAGGGTGGGTTTGCTGTGGCGACAGCCTTGCTAGCTGTGAGCTTTCTACTAGCTCTGCTGGCTAAGTGGGAGAGATTGATACCGCAAACGCAGTCGTGGAGTAACCCTGGTGTTGCCGATGAGAAATCTCAAACCCAATTGGACTCAGAAGGTGATGAGAAGCCCACTGTTTGATTGTTTTAATGTGTCCCTTTCTCTTGGACTTGGCCATTTCTTGCAGTCAGAGTGGTGATCGGCATCTAGTAACCACCGACAATGCCTTGGACGGCTGTTTATCTGGAGAAATCAAAACCACGGCCCGGATGGCCAACCCTTTGTCTACGTTTATAAATATATTGCCTAATTCCCTAATTGAGTTATTATATAGATTTTAATATTGCCTTTACCAAATTGAGAGACTATGTGACCTGTTCTGACTTGTCTGAGTCCCGTGTAAGCCGACACCTTTTCGCTGCATTTGATTTAATTCCCTTTTCATCCGCCTCAACCAATGAAATAACGAAAAATGAAACGAAAAATGAATAAAGGGACTGAATAAAAGAGAAGAAATATCTTGCTATAATGTTTTTCGAATGCTAGACTGGCCTTTGGTATAATGATTCTCAGTGTAGGTAAATTTATTTAGATCGTTCAACATACTGCTAGATTATAGAAACATTTATTTGACGCAATGAGGCACAACATAATCATTACTACAAATTCACACACCCTTATTGTCGTCCGGTAGAATAGGGAGGCAGATCAGCTTCATCTGCGGATGCGTAATCCACGTCTTTTTATCACGTCCCCATTTCTTACCCACCAACTCCTTGGGTAGATGTAACTCCCATTTCACGACCAACTCTACGAGTAAGGCCCGAATAACCAAATCTGCCACATACCGCCCCATGCATTGCCGTGGTCCAAACCCGAATCGCCAGAAATTGTAGCGGGCCTCGATGCTATTTACCTCCTGGAATCGACTCGGTCGATATTCCTGTGCGTCAGGGCCCCAGAACTCATTCTGGATGTTGAGTGCGTATGTGTCAACTACGAAGTTTGTCCCCGCTGGAATAACATAACCGTCGATTATTCGCTCAGTAGGAGCAGATTGCGGCACGGAGAAGGCGGCTAGGGGCTTCAGACGCGATGACTCAGAAATGCAGGCAGAAAGAAAAGAGGTCGCACTGAGGAGATATTGATGTTCGGTTTTATCTTGTCGTGCTTTCTTGATCTCCTCTCGTAGTTGTCTCTGCACTTGTTGGTCAGATGCCAGAAAGACAAGGTTCCATGATAGGCCCCCCATTGTCACGTCGAGGTTGGCGTATAGCATCTCATCAAGAGTGTGTTGCACATGCTCATCACTGACAGTACCCTCGTGGAGAGCATCAAAGAGTTGGAAGATAGGGGTCTCGGTTAGAGACAGATCGTTGGCCCGCTGGTATGCCATGTGATTGAACGCCTTCCATTTAGTTTCGAATTCGCGTAGTGTCCGGTTGGTCTCTGTTGGAAGGAACCTGGAAATTTCCAAACGACTGAGGCCACCTTGGATGACATGTGTAAACAACCTTTCATGAATGGGGGCTAAATACCGCAACCCCCTTTCCATGTCTGGAGGGAGTTTCCCATAGATCACATCGGCAACGGCGAAGAAGGGAAGCATCTTCAGGTCTTCAACCGGGTCAATGAGACCGCCAAGTAGGCTTCCCCTTTCCTCAAGGTCTCGAATATAGCTTTTAACACGGTTCTGGAGCAGATTGACATGACTGGAAACGTTATTGTGTGAAAAGGCTGTCTCACTCACGGCTCGCAGGTGCCTCCACTCCTGGCCGCTTACAAGTCCCACGCATTTGCCCAGAACTTGGCCCATGAGGTAGCCCGAGTTGTTGTTCACAGCTTTGTAGTGTTTGTCCGAGTCCTTAAAGATAATCTTGACATGTTCAGCCTTTGTCAACACGCTATTGCTTTGGTTAGCTAGCCTTGCGATATGAGAGAATGAATAACTCAATGATGGGGAATGTGCGACACACATTTCAGGCTTCATTCCCGACCAGATTCGGTAAACAGTGCCGTATCTCTTCCTCCATTGCTCGCTGTTTTCGATGCCATCGAGGAACTTTCCTATGTCGCCTTGACCGTTCGGCCAAACATAGGGACATGAAGGAAGAGGTATGCCTCGGTCTAGATGCCACACTGGGTACTTTCGGAGGAGGAGCCACTATCACATCTGGGATTTAGCTTGATACCAATATATGGCTGTGGGTTCGACATGGCATACTTGAACCACAGAAGAGATGACACGATTGCAGAAATTACTGTGGGATGCTAAAATTGAAATGATGAATGCGATCCCGATGACAATAACTGCAAAACCCATTTTATCGGCGTTTATAGATAGATCATAACATGAGAAGGTTGAAATCTAACTACACGTGCGCAAGTCAATCACTTAAATATGAAATCAGTACGATTAACTCTGGTCTCTCTCATATACTACCGAGATCTTGACAAGCAAATGGAACCTGCCCCGAGTAGGACCTCATTGACTTCGGCATCCGAAACTCGGCCCGTCTCCACCTGCAGCACATCATCTTATTGATATTTCCCATTTATCACATGGCTATAACCATAGAATTATACTGCATCGTCTACTTTTCTCCTCTTTACATAGTTCTACACACTACAGCATCACCATATTATGCATTATGCTTCATTCCTTTACTATATTGTAAATTGTAACAAACATATTTAACTTCCGGGTTGGAATAGTGCTTTTAATTGATATCACCGGTAGAGATTTGAAAGGTCCAAATTAGCCATATCTTGACCGAGCTAACCGTCCATACAATTGAATCGTTTGTTGAGATAAATGTTAGATTTGGAAGACCAGAGAATCCTGAATTGTTGTACAAGAAGGCCCGCTCTTAAGCCCAACGTCATACAGTATGAATAATAAGGGAATTTCTTCATTCGAATACTAAGTCCCAGGAATATCCAATCAAGTTAAAG